TTGCCTCATCTTGGAATGTTTCATCCAAGTTTTTGGTAATTTCACCTCGGCGAAGGCCAAAGAGAGAGGTCAAACCGGCACTATCAATTTCAATGCTTTTGCCGTCAACATAGGAAACGAGAGATGGCGAGTCTCCCTTAGTGGTACGAAGATTTGCATAAAATTGACGTATAAGATTTGGACAAAAGAATTCATACGTTAAGTGAATGAAACGAAGCAAATTTTGCTCAGCAAAAGCAGACTTACTCGGGGCATAGGTCGCCGATTTGAAGAGGTCCTTGTCCACAATTTTTGGTGAAATGATTTCCTTCGTGAGAAAGTTGTTGTGGAACCTCTCAACTGATGCTCCCGTCCTGAAGACAAGCCCGGTTTGAATGTGGAAGTATTTGGCTCCTTCCTTACGCCATGGACGGTCCTCTTCCTCCGCCGCCGCCGCTGTTTCTTGACGCGAGTTCTTGGTTCTTGGCATCTTCCCTCTTTGAAAATGATGAAATTTGGTGAAATTTGGTGAAAAGATTGAGGGAATTTGTGAAGAAATAGAAGAAGAAGACCTAGGGTTTCGTCGCCTCGGTCTGATTTTCTGAGAGAAGTGGCGAGGAAGACGAAGCCAGGTCAATTTATTAAACCCAAAAAAAATCGAATAATAATCGATTAATCAAAGTTATTTAACCGATTAAGGGTGAGGCAGAACCGAAGGAGTTTGCGCACAAGGCTTAATAATCGATTAAACAAGGGCTATTAATCGATTAGTTAAGACAGAGGCGTCTAATCGATTTCTCTTTGAGGATTAATCGATTAAAACAAATTTGACAGAAAAAAAACATCAGATTCAAATCAGTTTGATGCCACGGGCCAAGATACCTGAAAGGCTCTGCAAAAAAGAAGTTATAGCGCCTCCGACGCTCAAATTAGTAAAAATCAATAACAAGAAGAATTAGTTCATAGAGATATCCAAAATGCCAAGTTCGTTCCGAATGTGGAAGAAACTCTCCCTACTAAGGGGTTTCGTGAAAATGTCGGCCAATTGATGTTTCGTTTCAACAAACTCAATTGTGACATCTCCCTTTTGGACGTGATCTCGTATGAAGTGATGCCTAATTTCTATGTGTTTAGTCCTCGAGTGAAGAACGGGGTTCTTCGATAGACTAATGGCACTCATATTGTCACACCTAATTGGGATGTGATCAAGTATAAGGCCGAAATCCACTAGTTGCTGTTTTAGCCAAAGAATTTGGGCACAACAACTTCCCGCAGCGACATATTCCGCTTCGGTGGTGGAAAGTGCAACACTAACCTGTTTCTTACTAAACCACGAGATTAACGAATGACCGAATAAGTGGCAAGTACCGCTGGTACTTTTCCTATCGAGTTTGCAACCTGCAAAATCCGAGTCGGAATAGCCAACAAGATGACATGTCGAACCTTTGGGATACCAAAGACCTACGTTCAACGTGCCCGCGAGATATCGCATTATCCTTTTGATCGCAACCAAGTGCGACTCTTTAGGACA